AAAGCTGATAGCACTGAGTTAAATGGGCACAAGGGACTGCATTAGAGAAAAGGGGGACACATGGCCAAAGCTTCAGTAGAAAATGAATAAATGGATGTTCTTCAAGTTGGGAAAGGAGAAAGGAAATACTTGACTGAAGAGGAGCCTGAAGCACTTGACGAATTGCAGAAACCACTATGGTATGAGGACTTGGGGGAGAGCTGTTTAGAAATGAGGCTGGGGAGGAAGTCAGAAGCCAGAACATGAAGAGCTGTATCAAAATGAATGGCCTGACCTCAATGCATGAAAAGCTAAGACGGGTAATACCCTGGTTGTATCTTCATGCTAGAAACCCATTTCTGGTGAGAGTGGGTGAGCACTGAAATGGAGCCGTAATGAAAGCCAAGACACAAGACTTGCCCCTTCTGCAAATCTACAAACTTATGAAGCCCTGGATGCAACCAAGAGCAGCAGCAATGGAAAGAGGGAGATGGGTTTCTAGTGGGAAACTAAAGAGAATTGACAAGAATGGCAGGTCTTGGAAAACCATTTAGAATAGCTTCAGCACTAATTGAGACTATGGAGCTGAGGCTGGTCAGGAAACCTGGGAGACCAGACATAAAGAAGCCAAAGAGGAGACCTCATGTCTGAAAAAGAAGATTTGGGGGCATACATTGAGCTAGATGACCAGCCTACTGCTGCTTGGGGGTCCAGCCTCAAGCAACACAGGGCTCAAAGGGAAATCCACAGAGTTGGTGGGTACTCTGACTTTATTTGAGGTGGCTAGGGGAGAAGACACTCACACATTCTCTTGATGGTTTCCTTCTTTATTCTCTATTCTCTATTATATGTTCTATATTGTCTTTTCTTATCTCTATCCAGAAATGTCCCTTCTGTCTAGATGTTTTCCTTCTAACTCTATCTTTATTCTTGATGTTCTCCTTCCAATTCCTTCTAACGCTCTCAATTCTTAATGTTTTCCTTCTAAATCATTCTTAATGTTTTCCTTCTAACTCACTTTAGCTCTATCTTTATTCTTTCCCATATAGCTTATTTACCCCAGAAAAAATCTTTCAGGCAATGTGGTCACATTCTGTTTTTCAAGTGAATGATTACAATGAATACAAGAAAAAAAAACAGCATGTTTTCCACATCCCTTACATGAGCAAACATTTTTCACATTATAGATGAAAAGCAAATTATCCCAAGAACCCATGTTCATTCATGCCCAAGCGACTTGTTATAGGTTAACAGAGTGTAAGCAAGCAAGATATTATTCACTGGCAGGCTGTGTTTTGCAGTTACAAAGAAAGAACTTATCATTTTATTACTTATCTTGAAAGTTAATCTTATAAGGAATCTTAAAGGAATCACAAATCTAAACTTTCATATATGAAAAAGAATCAGTCAGCTCTACTTTAAAGCTTTAGGGTACACACCTACTCATCAATAGTTTTTTATATGAGGAGGGAGTATAAGGAATTAATCATCACCTTTGGTCATCAACCAATCCTAGCAAGAAAGGCACATCATCGAACAATAATTAGGATGCTTTGTTCTTGTTCCCTGACCTTAACGAGTTCCTCATTCAACTATGTGTCTTCCTAAAACTTTAGATCGCCTTCTTGGGTTTGTTATTGTTTTTGTTTTTTGTTTTTTGTTTTTTGTTTTTTGTTTTTTACCTCAAAGGTATTTGATGAAAACATCTTAGTCTAACTTTAAGATATTTTCCAAGCTTTGTTTCAGCTATGATGCACTCCAAAATCTGTGAGCACATCTCCCAACATTAAGGTTAAAAGAATTTTAAGCTAGCTGAGATACTGGGACTCAACTGTTTTTCTTAATCATTAACCTAAGCCACAGTCTATGTGGCTCCTCATTAGGAACTCGTGTGTCCTAGCTGTGTGACACATCCCTATTTTATTTTTATCATCAAAACTTTATTTAATCTAACATTATTATTATCAATCAGACAACACAACTTAGGAAGAAATCATCTTCATAATAATCCACAGGTAAGAACGCAAAGTAGAACGGATGTTTCCATGAGATAAACATATGGAAGATAAAACATTACCGGCAGTGGGTCTCCCCACACCCATTCATGCCATGCCAGAAACCAGAGAAAGATGGCAGCAGAAAACATGCGAAGGCGCGACAGAAGCAAAGGACTCTGGGAGCTGTAGTCTTGGGGCCTTGTTTATCCCATCGGAGAGTTGCCTCCTGGTGGGCTGACACCCAGATGTCAACCGCCATCTGCTGCTCCTCTGACACAGTCACAGTACCAGTCCTGCAAGCAGGGTGCCCACTCTCACCCTAGCTTCACGTTCACTTCCTGTCTGACCCCTATGCCCAGTGTTGCCCTTGACCTTTGTTTCAGATAATCCTGAAGCGAGTTAGAAATAGCAGTTCCTATACTGGGTCAGATGAAAATGTCTGCTAAGGATGTATGCCCCATTGGCTGGAGAAAATCAAGGTCAGAAGGCAACAGCTTATTACTGTAGATACCGCCCCATCATTCTTTGGGGGGGGGATCACATTACAGATGGTTGTGAGCCACCGTGTAGTTGCTGGGAACTGAACGTTCTCTGGTAGAACAGTCAGTGCTCTTAACCCCTGAGCCATCTCTCCAGCCCCAGCCCCACCCCACCCCACTCCACCCCCACCCCACCCCACCATCATTCTTTACCTGGCTTTTTAATCTCCTGGCCATCGTGCCTAATTAGACACAACAAAAGTGGTAAATTTTCTCGAAAACTGACCACCTGTTAAAATTTAACTCTAGATAAAAATGTCAAAGTTCCCCAGGCCTCTCTGAGGCTTATGACCACATCCAGCTCATGTAAACTGGCTGGGGACAGTGGGTTTTGAGGTTTCTGACTTGAGCTCAGACTTAAGGAATCTTGTCCTTTCCTGGTGTTTTGTATTTCTGTATTTTTCTGGGGTTTTTCTCAAACCATAAAGATCTCCAACCTAACCTGGTGCATTACAAGAAACAAGGATTAATCATTACAGCTGACAATGTCTACTTGTTATCTAGCATGGGTTAGCAAATGCTCTAAGCAGTCTATACGCTTGAACTCATTTTAAGCCTCAGGATGACCTCATGAGGTAAATTTTCATTTACAAGATGCTGAGGCAATAACTCAATTAGTAAACTTCTTGCCATACAAACACAAGGACCTGTGTTCAGTCTCCAAGACCCAAATAAAAACTCAGGCTACTGTGGTGTCTAGGTTTATAATCCCAGCATTGGGGGGGGGGGTGGAGACTGGATGATCACTAGGGTTCACTGCCCAGCCAATCTAGTCTAATCCATGAATGCCTGGTCCCAGTGGAAGAACCTACCTTAAAAACATCAGTGTGGATGGCTCCTGAAGAATGACACTCAAAGTTGACCTCTGGCCTCCACACAGGCATGCACAAACACACATGTTCATCTGAAGATCAGGTGACACAAGACATATTTGACAACTCCACTGTAAAGCCACAAGTTACACAGTATCTTAGCATGAGACTGGAGATCCTTAACCAGTAAAATTAACATACATAGGCACTTTGCTGCCCAGACAGGCAACAGCTGGCAGACAGGATGCCTTTTCCTGAACATTCTCCAGGGTGGGGCTGCCTCCCCAGGCTGACTCGAATTTTACTATACTCCAGATTATAAAACAGAGAGACAGGGAGAGCCAGGATTTCAGGGCCACCCTCTTACCCGCCCCCCCCCCCAAGCTCCGCTCCTCAGAAGGAAGGAACACGGGTGGAGAAGTGTAAATGACCTCACAGGGTATCATCGGGAGAAAACCTAAGTAAGCGGGCCCTCCAGTGATTCATTTGGGTGGACTACTTTCACACCAAGCTACATTCAAGAGTTCGGAGTGGGGTCATTTGGGGCCCCTCCCTCCCTACCATTTCCTCTTTTCAAAGTACTAGCAGATTTGGAGTCAAACTCCATCCAAACAGGAAATCACCCAGGTTCTAGGTAAAAAGGAGGGGGAGGGGCTTATTTTTAAAGGGCAAGTTCTTTTGTGCACAAAGTGGGTGTCTCCAGAGCAAGCGCCTACTATGTTCTGGGCACGTGGCTGTTATGTTTATGCCCTGCAGGGAGCATGCTGAGAGATGAGACTCACACCCCCATACACACATCTGGCAAAGCTTACAGGAGAAAGGCTTTTAAGGGTTTGCATTGCCCCCCCCTCTAAAAACTAAAAATGGAAATGAAAGGCTCCAGCCCACCTCGTTTGAGTCCAGCAGAATATATAAGAAGAGCCCTGAGCGGGGAAAGTAGGAGGCCTGGAGCAAAGGGCGGAGTGGGGGAGGGGGGGCGAGAAGAGGGTTGATGACAAGGTGGAAGTGCAGAGCCGGCGGCAGAGGGATTGGGAGTTTGGCTGGCAAGCTACGCCAGAGGCAGGTGCCAGCTGAGAGTGGGCGGAGGTGCGGGCAGCAGGCCAGGCCAGGCAGGGGGAGGCCAGGCGTTACCTCTGCCTCCAGGAGTTCAGGCGCAGAGACACGCTCGCCCCGGGGTGCCCCCGCTTCGTCAACTCTCCATTCCCTCCCCTCCTGCCAGCCCGGACCAGGGGAGTCCCTGTCGCCTGCAGGAGGAGCCGCTGCCGAACGATAGCATCCTTGGGAAAGACACCCGGGGCTACATAGCCTCCAGCCTCCTCCTTGCACTCCTAGTGATCACCCCTACCCGGCCACCGGCCACCAGAGCTAGCACCCGTGCCTCCGGGACCTCCACCTGCGCGGGCCCCGGGCGGGAGGTAATACAGGGTAAAGAAGGCTCGAGAAGCGGGTATCCAGGGAACCCCAACCCCGCTTCTCTACTGGGCAAGAAAAGGCGACGCTGTCAACATTGTTGAGCTTCCTGCACGCGGTCCCCAAGTTCAGGAGCGACACCTTTCCAGAAGGAGCAAATCAACCCCCACCCCACCCCCCGCAGTGAGCATTCCAGCTCCTTCGGGATCCCTGGAGCTTCTTCTGTCTGCACCCCAAGTCCTTCCCTGGTCTCTGCTTGGGCCATGCCCGGGCTGCGCCCCGGGGCTGCGCCCCCCAGCCGCGGCCACCCCGGCCCGCGCTCCAAGCTGCAGGCCCTCTTCGCCCACTCGCTCTACCAAGTCCCGGAGGAGCCGCCTCTCCTGGGTCCCGAAGACTGGCTCCTGGCCAGCCAGGAGGCGCTGCGGTATTACCGGAGGAAGGTGGCCCGCTGGAACAGGTGAGGACCCTGCAGGGGGACCCCCAGGTCCCAGCCTCCCTAACCTGACTCTCCAGTCACTGGCTACCCAAGTCGGCTCCCTCCCTGGGCTGCAGGGGCTTTACCTTGCCCTCAAGTTAGCTGTGGGCTTCTTTCCCCATCTGGACCCCCCACCAGCTGTTGCAGATTTCAGATGCCAGCCCTGAAGTTAAGATCTCAGTGTGAGAAATAATTTCTTTACAACAGCAAAGAAATGCTCCCAGCCACTCCCCTACAGTTCTAGGGTTGTTAATCCGATCGCTTTCCTGGTCCCTGTGCCTTCTCGAACCCCTTTCTCTTTGCCCTGCTGTGGACAGCTGCTGTTAGGCCTTTGCTTTCCAGAGTGAGGAGAGCAGAGCTGGCTCGAATTCTGCACTCACCTCTGCTCTTAGGTCAAACCTGAGCGTTTTTGTCCGAAGCTATGCCAAATCCCAAAGACTCAGTTTTTTTCCCTGCCTTTCTCCCTCTGCCCAGGATTAGAGACCAAAGAGTCGGCTGGAGCAAGAGTTAAACTCCCAGCTCTCTGACATGGTCAATTCCTGTTGTTCATTAAACGTGGCTTGTCAGTTTTGGCCAGTGTTGGAACTGAAGGAGGTTTATTATCTTTTATTATCGTGTTGATTTGGGCTGAGGCTTCTGGAGAGAAAGAGAGAGGGCAGGGAGGAGAGAGAGAGAGCTAGGAATTTTGTAAACCGAAAGCAAAATTTGGAGAGAAATATTAAAATATTTAGGGTAAATGGGCAAAAAATTAAAATTTCGGTAATGTGTTGGAAATGGTGTGGTAGTGACTGCTGGGGAGGTCCCAAAGCTAATGGCAGAAAGCCTTCATATGAGTTAAGGACTCTTTTTCTAAGTATGGAACTTGTCTGTCACTTGAATCCAGAGTTCCCTTCTCATGCCACACCCATCTGTTAATACAAGAGATTTCAGAATGAGATGTCAGGGGTGGTTTTATAGTCCCTTGGGAAGATGAGAATGCCATAAATTTCAGCTGAAACTCTCTGCTAGCCCAATTTAACTGTTTTCTCATTATTCTATGGGGCTAAAACTGGAGCGGGGCTGGGGGAGAGCTTAACAAATGAAAAGAAGTTGAAACTTATTGGTGGAGATCACTATAGTGATTTCATTTGCAACCTCGATGGCTGATGATTTTATATTAGAAAGTGGTTCTCAATTCTACTGCTAATTGCATGCAATATAAAGGCAGTTTAAGATTGCTTCGAAAGTACTGTCATTTTCAGTATTACCTTAATTTCATCAATAATGTGGGAGCATCATGGATCAGTGAACTAGGAAATGTTGCCCTTAGAACAATTATCCACACATCAAATGAAGATCTAAGAATTACAGGCTATGGGCACAGTTGCTTGCAATTATAAATGTAGATGCATGTTTGCCTAGTCTCATTTCTGCTGCTGTCAATTTCCCTGTTACTTAGGCCCTGAAGGAAATGCCATGGAAATATTTTGAGAGAAAAGCAAAATTCTTCCTCCACCAAGCTGAGTAATTGATTTTTAAGCTTGCTTTTTAACAATGCTCTGTGTCAACACACAGTTTACTACCCAGAAATGTTAGTCATTTAACAAGGTATCAATGGGGGACTGCTGACCTTGCTATCTGTCTTCAGTAGATGGCTAAAAGTAGCGGTTTCCTGGCAAGGTCTGGGGATGCTATAACAGGTTCAGCTGCACCTAGTAGTGTTGAACTTTGACCTTAGAGGCAGCAAACACATTCCCTCCACCTGAAGGGAGATGTGAACAGCAGCAGAATGGTATTAATTAGCAAATGTGTTAATTACACCAGTGTTAAAAATGGAGCCCCCTGGCAGTGTAGCTCAGTTGGTAGAGTATGCTTGCCCTGGGTTCAATTCCCAGAACCCCACAAACTGGGTGTACTGGTGCCCATCTGTAATCCTGACCCTCAGGACATAGAAAGAGGAGAAGGAGAAATTTAAGGTCATCCTCATCCAGTTGTTGAGATTGAGGCCAGCCAGGGCTGTATGAGACCCTGTCTCCAAATGCATGGAACCTACTCATTGAATTCAAATTCTATCAAAAGTTCTGCTGTAATCACACCAACCCTTACTGGTTTGTGTCCTGATGACTATGGAGATATGTGGATGTGTTAATGGACCCTGGGAACCTTGGTAGAGGACCAAGGAAGCATCCAGAACCCCCCAAGGTGGCATTTAGGATAGGCAACAAAGGGAGAAATAATAAATGACCTGACCAATTGTTTGTGGCTTGCACAGACAAGTCCTTGTTTGTAGCCATGACCCTGCTAGCATTTAAAAGCTACTGATGTATAAGCAGTGCTTCCCTGCCAGTAATTACCTAACATTAATTGCTATCCAAAACCAAACCTATCAGCAAACTGTCTACCACAGTAGGAAAGGTGGAGGTAATAAAATAGCCAGGTCAGCATTCTTCGTCACTTGTCTGGAGGAGAACATTGTTAGTCTGAGTGATTTCAATTTTTTTACTGCCACACTAAGAAATGATGGTATTCTGTCAGAAAATGCCTTTTGACAACTATCTGGAGCTAGTTTCCAGTAGGGGGTACCTAATGGTTTCTTCCACTTCCCACTCCTGAACATTCCCCTTCTATTTCACCCAGAACTAGATGGAGTTTGTGCACTGTCTTGAATATTTCAGTTCTCATCCGATGACAATTTATTGGGTGTCGGGATTTTAGTTAGGCTGAAATGTGGAAGCGATGCTGTGTGTCCAGTGGGCTGGGTGCGTGGCCTCTGATCCTGAAGATTGAGCAAACCTCCTTCTATGGCAGTTCTTCCTTGCCTTACTGCCTGCCTCTCTCTCATTCAAAATGCAACCAAGTGTGGTACAGTCCAAGTTTAAAATGTAATCAGGGAAAGTGTTCCTGTCAGGTTGTCAGCTGCTGATCACAGCGAGCAAGCCAATGCCAGGCTCCATCAGCCTTGATGACACCTCTGGCACCTGTCTGGAATATCAAAAAAGGCAGGGGGACAGGGAGCAGGGAAATGTCAACTTCACTATTTCAGGCCATAAACTAACAACACAGAACTGCCCCACTTTTATTGTTAGTTCTTAACTGGCAATGGTGGCGGCAAGGCTTACCTGGATCTGAGGTAACAGTTCACCTCTGTGGCCATCCTGGCATTCTTAGTGTCTGATCTTCGAGTTTCTTCTGTGGTCCACAGCTTCCCCAGCCAGATAATGTCTGTCCTTAGACAGACATGTCAAAACTGGAAAGCTTGGCCTGGCCTTTTGCCCACATACCTTTGGTCAGTTCTTCTATAATCCTCTAAGGTCAAATAGGGTCATGCCTTCCTCATGTAGGAACTCCAGCAGCTGTGATGCAAGTATGAGTTCTCTGTCTGCGCTCTGCTTGTCTTCCTGTTTGTCTTCCTCTGATGTCAGGAATGTGATACTGGCCGACAATCACAAATTCTGCATTTCTCAGAATGTTGGGGTGTGTGTGTGTGTGTGTGTGTGTGTGTGTGTGTGTGTGTGTGTCTGTGTCTGTGTGTATGTGTGTGTGTGTCTGTGTCTGTGTCTGTGTCTGTGCCATCCCCCATCCTAAGCTTCTGCCATCCCCCCCCCCAGCTCCCTTGTTGTCACAGAAAGGAACCCTGGCCCAAAGTCTCTCTTTAGAAGTCACAGCAAAGAGACTGGGCAGCTTTTCAAAAATGACAGTTGTTCAAGAGGAGTAAGTTGGCTGAAGTTTTTCTGGGGGAAGCTCTGAGGAGATCCAGAAACACGGCTGACAGAGGAAAATATGGAGAAAAGGCCAGGAGAGAAGAAGAGTTCTGCTGGAAATAAGAACTGTCTAGCCAAGAATTCTCAGAACATTAGCTCTCCTCCCACGGCAGTGTGCAATGAGCAACGGTACCTCTTCGTTCTTCCCCTTTTCCTCCTCGGTGCCTTTGTATATCTTCCTGGCTTACCTCGTGACTACTCCAGACCATTAGCAACATCTATTCCTCATGAGCAGTTCAACCTTCAGGGTACACACAAGTCCAAACACACAGTAACAGACAGTGGTCATTTGCCTTCCTCCCAGAGTCAACAGGACCTTGGTTTTTATCTGAGCATTTTTTTTTTTAGCAATGCCGGGCTAAGAGAGAAATGGCCTCCCAGGATTTGGGAATACTCCCCAGCCACAGCCTACATGTGGTGAGCAACTGGAGTGGGCATTCATTTCCATCCGTCTTAATTAGAGCCTGGCTGGGCTGATTTGGGAAAAGCTATTATCTTGGTGGTTTTGGAGACCTCAGGCTGCTCGGATTCAGAAGCCACAGGCAGATGGTTTCTGAGTGAGTCCAGAAGGCCAGTTCAGGCTTTTCTCTCATTGCACACTGGCTCTCACTGCCTTCCCCTCAACAAAGAACTAAATCAGGGAAGGATCAATGACGGTCATCCCAGGAAGGTGGCACATCCTGCTTCCAGATAGATCAAAGAGAAGACCTCAGTCAAGAGCCACAAGCCATGTCATTGTTTCCAGACCCTACCATCTTCTTTCTTCTCAACCATTTTCTCCTCAATCCTGGAAACTCAAGTGACTGATCTTCCATGTGTGAGTCCTCCTACCTGAAGTGCACTCCTTTCATGTCTCACAGGTTCTGTGAAAGTAGATACATGCTCGCGGTAGATGTTCAAGGTGGTCTCCCAAGGTTTCCAGCCCTGATAAATGAATGCATACACACTTTTTCTAGTAACTTAGACCAATCCCATTGTGTGTCTGCTGTAAATATATTTTGCAAGATGTCCAGAACGGGGAAACTATCCATTGTGGTTGACCTGATCACATATCCCTAAGTCAAGATCCCTTTGGTTTATGGGCAAGGAGGACACCAGAAAGCTTGGCTATTACTGCTGACTTCAAGAGAAAGGTTATCATTTTTCAGGGGATATAAATGACCTTTCAAAATCCAGGTTGACACCTGTTAACATACAGCAAGAAAATAGAGAATTAGTTCCTACACACCAGGGAAATGAATT